AGCCCTTTGCAAACTTATTTGTGGAGGATGTCTGCCCCTAGTTTTGAGAAAACACTTCAGTGACCATATTGGCCAAAAGACAATACCAAAATTCTATTCTGCAATTAGGTTTGTAAACATAAGAGGCTAATTTACTTTTGAAAACTGATGTAAAACTTTATCTACATTGTGTGCAGAAAAGCAGTTCAGAGAGGCCATGATAAAGTCATTTAGGTTAGGTATATCTTTTATTTTTCAATGTATCTCAACATAGTATTGGAAGTACTAGCCAGAGCAATCAGGGAAGAGAAAGAAATAAAGGGCATTCAGACTGGAAAAGATGAAGTCAAATTGTCCCTGTTTGCAGATGACATGATCCTATATATATGACAGTCTGAAGACTCTACAAAAAACTCTTAGAGTTGATAAATAATTTCAGCAAAGTGGCAGGATACAAAATCAATATGCAAAAATCAGCATTTTTATACTCCATCTGTGAACTAGCTGAAAAAGAAATCAAGAAAGCTAGCCCATTTACAGTAGTCACCAAAAAATTAATTAATTAATTAAAAACTGGGAATAAAGTTAACTAAGGATGTGAAAAATCTCTACAATGAGAACTACAAATCACTGTTGAGAGAAATTAAAGAGGACACAAGAAGATGGAAAGATATCCCATGCTCTTGGCTTGGAAGAATTAACATTGTGAAAATGTCCATACTGCCCAAAGTGATCTACAGATCCAACACAATCCCTTCAAAATACCAATGACATTCCTCACAGAAATGTAAAAAACAATTCTAACATTCATATGGAACAAGGAAAGACCAGGAATAGTCAAAACAATCCTGAGCAAAAAAAATAAAGCCAGAGGCATAACACTACCTGACTTTAAACTATACTACAAAGCTATTATAACCAAAACAGCATGGTACTGGCATAAAAACAGACACACAGACCAATGGAACAGAATAAAGAACTGAGAAATCAACCCATACACCTACAACCATCTCTGATCTTTGATGAAGACACCAAGAACACACACTGGGGAAGAGACTGCCTCTTCAATAAATGGTGCTGGGAAAATAGGACATCCATATGTAGAAGAATGAAACTAGACCTGTATCTCTCATCATATACCAAAATCAACTCAAAATGCATTAAAGAATTAAATACAATGGCCAGCCCATGGCTCACTTGGGAGAGCATGGTGCTGACAACACCACATCCAGGGTTGGGATCCCCTTACCAGTCGTCATTTAAAAAAAAAAAGAAGAAGAAGAATTAAATATATGTCCTGAAACAATAAAATTCATAAAAGAAAACATAGGGGAAACACTTCAGAAAGGAGGATTAGGTAGAGATTTTATGAATTCAACCCCAAAAGCACAGGCAACCAAAGGAAAAATAAACAAATGGGATTATATTAAACTAAAAAGCTTCTGCACAGCAAAAGAAACAATTAACAGAGCAAAAAGAAAATCAACAGAGTGGGAGAAAATATTTGCAAAATATGCTTCTGACAAAGGATTAATATCCAGAATATACAAGGAACTCAAACAGCTTAACAACAAAAAAGCAAGTAACCAAATTTTAAAATGGACAAGGAGGTGAATAGGCATTTCTCAAAGAAACATACATGAATGGTCAACATATATATGAAAAAATGCTCAACATCACTCGACATTTAGGAAATGCAAATCAAAACCACACTGAGATATCATCTCACTCCAGTTAAACTGCCTAATATCTAAAAGACTGAGAATAATAAATGCTGGTGAGGATGTGGAGAAAAGGGAACCCTCCTACACTGTTGGTGGGATTGTAAAATGGTGCAGCCCTTATGGAAAATGGTACGGAGTTTCCTCAAACAACTACAAATAGATCTGCCATATGACCCAGCAATCCTATTGCTGGGTATATAACCAAAGGAATGGAAATCATCATGTCAAAGGGATACCTGTACTCCCATGTTTATTGCAGCTCTATTTACAATAGCCAAGAGTTGGAACCAGCCTAAATGCCCATCATTGGATGAGTGGATAAGGAAAATGTGGTATATCCAGACAATGGAATACTTACTCTGCTGTAAAAAAGAATAAAATACTACCATTTGGCTGGTGAGGATGTGGAGAAAAGGGAACCCTCCTACACTGTTGGTGGGATTGTAAAATGGTGAAGCCCTTATGGAAAATGGTACGGAGTTTCCTCAAACAACTACAAATAGATCTGCCATATGACCCAGCAATCCTATTGCTGGGTATATAACCAAAGGAATGGAAATCATCATGTCAAAGGGATACCTGTACTCCCATGTTTATTGCAGCTCTATTTACAATAGCCAAGAGTTGGAACCAGCCTAAATGCCCATCATTGGATGAGTGGATAAGGAAAATGTGGTATATCCAGACAATGGAATACTTACTCTGCTGTAAAAAAGAATAAAATACTACCATTTGCAGCAACATACATGGACTTATAGAAAATTATGTTAAGTGAAATAAGCCAAGCACAGAAAGAAATACCACGTTTTCACTTATATGTTGGAGCTAATAAAATAGATAAATAAACAAATGAGGAGAAAAAAAGACACAAAAATCACAATAATTCCTTGAACTTGTTAAGATAAGTGAACAGATATGATGTTAATCAGGGTAAGAGAAGGGGTCAGAGAGGGGAGAAAGCAAGGAATTGGTAAACAGCCACAAAAATTAACTACATTGTATATTTATAAATTTAAAAAATAAAAATAAAGGTAAAAACTTTTTTATCTAACTGTGGGAAGAGTCACCATGGATTTTAGTGCCTGTCACAGAATGGGTAATGATATTATCATACTTGCTGTGTGCTCACTTCACAGAGAAATAACTACCAGAAAGAAAGTTCTTTTACTTGTAATTAGAGATTTTCCTGTCAATTGGCAATAGACAAAATATCAACTTCAATAGAAAAGAGAAAAAAAAATCAAACGTTCAAACATTAACTGAGTAGTGTGCAAGGGACCTCTTGCCTAAGTTTCTCCCCATCCCCCATGCACCCAGCCCGAGGGTGATCAGACCTCCCAGGATCATATCTAACCTTTTCTAGACAGCTCCCAGAGAATAAAAGATTCAGTACTGGGCCACTTAAAGCGTCAAGTAATGCCTTACGTGTAAACAGGCATTAATGTACTTTTATATTAAAATCTGCTCATTTTGTGTATACACTTCACAGGGCAAATTAAAACAACTAATCATATAAACGACTTTCCTAACATAATGTGTAGTTGTGATTGGGATGAAAATCCGGGGACAGTATATCCATGTTCATATTAGTACCATATGTGAAACAAGGTAGATAGAAGGTAGCATTACCAAAAAAAGGCAACTCAGAAAATTGGCCCTAGTGAGACAAGACATAGATAGGAATGATCCATAGAAAACTTTAATGAAAATTATTTCATGAAATGTTTAATTTCATGAAATGGGAAAAAGAAGTAAAATATTATTTTATATATGATTTTAAATGTATATGTAATCAATTACTAAAATAAAGAAACTGGAAGAAAATTCCTCCAGTCATGTTAGTACATTTTACAGCCTAGAAGTCCTGTCAGGGCCATGCAGCATATGAATACCCACTTCTCCTTTGCTGCTCTGAGCTTCCTTCCCAGCCAGTGCATCAGGTGTTAGCAGCATTGGACTACTTCCTGCCACTACTCCTTTTCTGACTCTGGTTCTTCCTGTCCTTTGCCTATATCCTGTTCTGGTACAACCTCTTCGGAGGTTTCTTCTAGGTCACCCTGTGAGCACTGTGATATCTCCTTTCTAGACCCAATACTGGCAACAATAATTAGGCCTAAAAATAATGCTAAAAGAAATACAGGGATTATGTACACTATCTTCCCAAGGCTTTTGTCTTCATCCTTGCTCTCAACACCTCTGTGCGCATTACCACGACTAACTCTATGACTTTTACTTTCATCAATACTTGGAATTCGATCACCTGGCGGACCCGGGGGTCCACTGTCCACACTACCCCCATTTCCTGGATTTTGACGGCCAAGGCGGTACCTCATATTGAAGATGGAGGTTTCATAGGGAAGTTGGGAAAGTGAAATTAAGACAATGAACATAAAGCGTTGAACTCAGTGCCTGTCACAGAATGGGTAATGATATTATCATACTTGCTGTGTGCTCACTTCACAGAGAAATAACTACCAGAAAGAAAGTTCTTTTACTTGTAATTAGAGATTTTCCTGTCAATTGGCAATAGACAAAATATCAACTTCAATAGAAAAGAGAAAAAAAAATCAAACGTTCAAACATTAACTGAGTAGTGTGCAAGGGACCTCTTGCCTAAGTTTCTCCCCATCCCCCATGCACCCAGCCCGAGGGTGATCAGACCTCCCAGGATCATATCTAACCTTTTCTAGACAGCTCCCAGAGAATAAAAGATTCAGTACTGGGCCACTTAAAGCGTCAAGTAATGCCTTACGTGTAAACAGGCATTAATGTACTTTTATATTAAAATCTGCTCATTTTGTGTATACACTTCACAGGGCAAATTAAAACAACTAATCATATAAACGACTTTCCTAACATAATGTGTAGTTGTGATTGGGATGAAAATCCGGGGACAGTATATCCATGTTCATATTAGTACCATATGTGAAACAAGGTAGATAGAAGGTAGCATTACCAAAAAAAGGCAACTCAGAAAATTGGCCCTAGTGAGACAAGACATAGATAGGAATGATCCATAGAAAACTTTAATGAAAATTATTTCATGAAATGTTTAATTTCATGAAATGGGAAAAAGAAGTAAAATATTATTTTATATATGATTTTAAATGTATATGTAATCAATTACTAAAATAAAGAAACTGGAAGAAAATTCCTCCAGTCATGTTAGTACATTTTACAGCCTAGAAGTCCTGTCAGGGCCATGCAGCATATGAATACCCACTTCTCCTTTGCTGCTCTGAGCTTCCTTCCCAGCCAGTGCATCAGGTGTTAGCAGCATTGGACTACTTCCTGCCACTACTCCTTTTCTGACTCTGGTTCTTCCTGTCCTTTGCCTATATCCTGTTCTGGTACAACCTCTTCGGAGGTTTCTTCTAGGTCACCCTGTGAGCACTGTGATATCTCCTTTCTAGACCCAATACTGGCAACAATAATTAGGCCTAAAAATAATGCTAAAAGAAATACAGGGATTATGTACACTATCTTCCCAAGGCTTTTGTCTTCATCCTTGCTCTCAACACCTCTGTGCGCATTACCACGACTAACTCTATGACTTTTACTTTCATCAATACTTGGAATTCGATCACCTGGCGGACCCGGGGGTCCACTGTCCACACTACCCCCATTTCCTGGATTTTGACAGNAAAAAACACCCTAGATTTGATGACCAGAATAAGTCCTGAGAACTTGTGACCTGGTTATCCTACCTGTTTTACTTACAGTCATGCATCTGTACCTGAAGGCTTCGTTTTGGATTTTGCTCTGAAGTTTAGTTTTGTTCCACCCAAAGTAACTAACATAAGTTTCTTGAAAGCAGACACCAGGTCTCATCATTTTGTTTGCTCTTTTCTGCTCACATAGGGTGGGCAGTTAGAAGAGGAACTCAGCTAGTGTATCCTCGGGGTCTGGTCCTCAGGGACTTACCCCACCCAGACTCAGAACATTCACTCAGCCTGTAGCAATATAGCACCTGAGAAAGATTTTGGTTGTGCCATGCCTGGGGACTAGCAACCCCATATTTTAAGGTTGGCTCTGGTTAAATCATTTGCTTTGGTCAACACTTATTGAGGCCCTACAATGAGCTGTGCCCTCAGAGCTAAAGAAGATGCCAACCTGCCACTCCATGCTGCCAAGATGTGGGGGAAAAACTTTAATCCATAATGACTGCACAACGTGGTATGTTCGTGATAGAAATCAGCGTACATTTGTAAGGCTTTTGATTCATTAGAGTCGCTGAGGAAGAAGCCATGCTCTGGGCAGGTAGGGACATATCAGTGTCTTTCCTATCACATTTTCACGGAAGGAAAAGACTCACGTGGCAGTGAAGAACAGAGAGTCATTCATACCTGGGAAGGATGCAGGTTCCACCGCTAACTTGGTAGCTTGGAACAAACTCTTTGTGCTGTTACCTCATATTGAAGATGGAGGTTTCATAGGGAAGTTGGGAAAGTGAAATTAAGACAATGA